GTGAAAATCTGTAGCCAAAATCTGCATTCACTACAACTAATATCCCAACAATGCTAGGATAATTTGGACCGAACACTGATTTCCCACAATGCATTGCTTCAATTAGGGTAAGATTAAGCCCCTGAAGCTTCATTATCCGGTTTAAGAATATGTCCAGGGGCTTACGTTTTCCCCATCGCCCATCCCCTGAGACAAGCAGGCATACACCTTCCTGAGATGACAGGCCCTGTAACCCTCATGACCACGGTGGCATTCTATGGAATCCTGTGTTGTTCCCGGAATTTTGGTCTGACTACTGGATCCTGAACGATCTTTGTGTCCTCAACTCCATTTTAGTATCCTATGGACATTTCTCTTGGGCAATTGATATAGGAGTTCATTAGAACTTCCGCAGCACTGTTGCTGATGCAGATGTCCCCTAAGAATTATGTGTCTTGCAAATAAAAAGAATTAAGTTCACCATTTTTATTCTATTGTTAGTTTTATGTCAAAAATAAATCGTTCATATCCTTATTAAACACCAAAAATTTTCATCATTAAGCCTTCTCTAACACCAGGAGTCGAACATTTTTTTATTGGCCTTACTAGGAATTAATCAAACATTTATTTAAGATGAAAGTGTATTATTTAATTTGCTAATTTTTTTCTTGTAATTGTAATTAGAATATCATTCAAAATTATCAATAATCTAAATAATTTAGTAGTTATTTATTTTTAATGAAAATAAAAGATTTTAAGTTTGAGTCGTATAGTATAAGTATTGAGTGAATTAAGGAACAAAAGGTGATTGCTTTCCATTATGCAACTTAAGATATATAAAAAAAAACATTCAAAGTCAATTTTCATCACTTTTTTTTACAATACAATTTTACAATAAAAACGTAGCACTAAACAAGTGATGTTTATTAAAATTTTTGTAGTAAGATAATATTATAAAATAATTTTCAACAAAAATTTGTTGCTTCTATATTTTAATACTTTAATGAATGTATTAAAAGAAAAGCAGTGATATGTACACAATCTATTGCTACAATTTTTCTTCACAATTTTCACACAAGGGTAATTTTGGTTTGAAGCATATATAGTGGAGATGAAGGATAAATTTTTAACTAATTAAATTGTAACATTAATTAACATGATAATTTGATTGGTAAAAAAAATTCCTTTTCCTCTCTCAACTTCATTTTCCTTAAATTAAACAAATATTATATATTGCACTTCTCAGAGAGTTAAAATTGTACATTATTAAATGTCCTTAACAGTTTTATGTATGGCGATAAACATTCCCGTAAGGCTGGCTTAAGCAGACAAAGGTATGAATTGACTAATGAGATTCTAGATCTCAATCAGATTAAGGATTTTGTCTATTCAACTCTATCTTATCATGATTAAAAACTCCAGCTTAGAGATAAGCACAAGGAGACAATGTCTCCCATTATATTTGAGGAAAAACTAATCTTGCCACCCATGTAAATGAGAAGAAAAATGGACACAGAGGTTTTATCTAAGACAGATGGCACCAAAGTTTTCCTTTTGTCTGTGGTTTATTATCTGCTTTAACGATATGTTCCAATACATTCTGTCTTGTTCTAAATAATTATTTGGTCCGTTTATTTGATAAAATTATTGGGTCCATTTTGGAACAATGAAATTATTGAAGGCACAATCAATCCCTACAACAAAGGAAATCGAGGAGGAAAGTGTAAGGCGGAAATCAAGGAAATCATTACCAAAGAAAGGGCACAAGTCAGCAACAGTTCAGAGTAAATTAAGGAGGAAGGGAACCCAAGAATGTACCAACGGGGCACGAGGATGAGAGAGAGAGGTAGAGAGAGAGAGAGAGAGGAGCAGGAGGAGGACAGAGAACACGGGCAACATGGACAACATGGAATCGGAAGGATGCTTCATCCAGAGGAGGAAGCCAATGGAGAGGCCAGGAGTCAATCAATCAGAAACAGGGGGAACAAGGGTATCAAAAGAACAGCTGGACACAAAAGTGGGGATTCTATGATAAGGGGCTGTATAAACAAGCCATCCCTTATTTCTTCACAAATTTCCCTGAAGAGTGGAGCTATGCAGATATGTGGAGAACATTCCTAAAATTTGGACAGGTATATGATATATACAGTCTAAACAGGAAAAGCAAGAGCGGGGCAAGGTTTGGGTTTGTCAGATTTCTCAATGTGCACGACAAAAGAGAACTGGAGAGACAGCTTGATCAGATATGGATTGGAGACTGGAAACTATGGGTCAACTCTCCAAGATACGATGATGTGAAGAAAGAAGAAAATAAGGAAGGAAAACGGCAAGGATTAATTCCAAAGTATCAGAGCAAGAGCTATGCAGAAGTACTTAGAGGAAATGGAGCTGGAAATGTTGAAGGAGTGAACAAGGGGCAGTACAGATCAGAGCCGTTGGAAAGAAGGGAGAACAGGAAAAGAGAAGGTTTTGGAATAGCAGAAAACAGAAAAGTATGGAAAGAGAAAGGAAGAGGAGCAAGCTGGACTGGAATGGAATAAAATATTAAAGAAGAAGAATTTGCATGGCTTGAGGGTTGCTATGTGGGGACAGTACACTCAGTAGAAATGGTCAGAAATTTGCAAGAGAAATTATACATGGAAGGGTATTTTTATTGTAGAGTTCGTGCAATGGGGGGCAAAATGGTTTTGTTGGATTGTGAAGAAAAAGAAGAGCTAAAGGATCTGGTAGAAATGGCTGCTGAATGGCTTGCACAATGGTTTAATGAAATCAAACCATGGACACCAGAATTGGTTGCCTAGGAAAGGTTTGTGTGGATCAAGTGTCATGGGGCTCCCCTAAATGCTTAGAGGAGTGATTTTTTTGAAAAAATGGGAAGCACTTAGGGGAAATTCATCTGCTTAGATGACAACACAAGCAACAAAAGAAGATTTGACGTAGCCAGATTCTTGATCTCAACCCATTTAATGGATTCAATCTCAGTCACACACCAAATTAAAATTAATGGCGTCCTTTACAATGTCAAATTTAAAGAGGAAGAATTTACCAACAATTTCTTCTCTTTAAAGCAAGATTTCTTGCCATCATTCCACAGTGGGTCGGAGGAAAATGAATCTTGGTCATGGGATACAGACATGGACAGCATGGAAAATGGATTTAGAAAAATCGAAGAGCCGGCTGTAGAACACAACTCAGAAGCAGAGGAGGAAGATGATGAGGTGGCGGGTGATAAGGGCAAAAATGGAAAAATTCATCATTCTCAAGAAGAGGTAGAGGCTGCAGATAGCTTGGAGAAATTTCAAAATTCAAACTCAGGAGCAGGTAGAGTAGGCCGGCTGGAAGAGATGCAGGGACATGGGGATCGAACAGCACCGACAGTGCATAGGGAACGGGCAAATTCAGCAGAAAATTGGGAAAAAGAAGGGGTAGAATCGGGCCTGGAAAAGCAGGATATAAAGAGGACAAGTGAAAGGCCCATACCACAACAAACAAGGTGTGTGGAGGAGGAATCAGTTGCCTTGAGCTCGGCCCAGTCGGTGACAAGCCCAATAGGACCCAACAGAAATGAAGATTCTAAAATTGAAGAAACAGAGCATGAAATTACAGAAGAGGAAGACGTTGACCCATTCTGGAAAGGATTTGAAAGTGAAGAGGGTCGACTGAAGCAGTGGATGGGTCGAAGGGCAGATCTGAACTGGACGGGGAAGAAGAAAAAAAAGAAAATTCGCTCATGTAGATCAATCTACTCCATAGATCCGGTAGATCCTCTTGTTGGTGTGGAGGAAAAAAGAGGGAAGAATCGTGGTAAGAAGTGGACAACGAAGAAGGGGAAGAAGGCGACGCTGGCATTCAGGACAGCTTCTGGTAGTAGAGCAGCTGGGGGTTCAATTGGTGACACATAAATCAGGAATTGCAACAGACTAGCCGAGAGATAGAAACAAGATAAGCAACTTGCAGATTTATGGGATTTTGCGAAAAAGCTAGGGGTAGTGGCTGTGGATGAACAGGAAATTCAGAAAAGAATTGAAGAAATGGAGAAAAGAGATGAAGAGGAGAAAGCAAGCATGTTGCAGATGGAGGAAGATAGCACGAAGAAGGTAAAAAATAATTTAAATGAATTTGTTGTCCTTTAACTACAGAGGGCTTGGAGGGGTTGGGAAGAAAAGATAGATTAGAGAATTAATTATGAAAGAAAAAATAGAATTTTTGGCTATTCAGGAGACTAAATTGGGGAATGTAGATATGAGTTTCTGTAGAAAGTTATGGGGGACGGATGATTGTGACTAGGTAGCGAAGGCGGCCAATGGATTGGCAGGAGGATTGCTCTGTATATGGAACTCCAAAGTGTTTAGAAAAAATGAAGTGATAGAGGGGGATAATTTTTTGGGGGTATGCGGGTTATGGGGAGAGGATGACACTGAGGTGTACATAATAAATATATATTCTCCATGTCAGTTGGCAGGCAAACTGGCATTATGGGAGGACTTACAGAAACTAATAACCAACAGGGGGGGTAAGTGGTGCTTGGCAGGAGATTTTAATGCAGTGAGAAAAATAGAAGAAAGAGCAGGAAGCAGGGAAGTTACCAGAGAAATGAAGGAATTTGATGATTTTATTCAGAATACAGGGGTTATTGATTTACCTTTGGTGGGAAGGAGGTATACATGGTATAATTCCAATGGGAAATACATGAGCAGATTGATAGATTTTTGTTGACAGAGGAGTGGATTTTGAAGTGGTGTGATATGAAACAATGGGGCCTTAATAGAAACGTATCGGATCATTGTCCCATTTTACTGAAAAATGAGAAGATGGATTGGCGACCAAAGCCATTCAAATTTTTTGATGCTTGGTTTGATCATCCGGGGTGCAAGGAGTTTATCAGGGAAGTGTGGAAGTCTACCATAGTTAGGGGATGGAAAGGGTACAAGCTGAAGGAGAAGTTGAAGAGAACAAAGAAAGAGCTGAAGGAGTGGAGTAGGAACTCCGTACCAGAAGTGGATAGTAAGATAATGGAAGCTGGAAAGGGGATTGCCACAATAGATGAAAGAGGAGAGAACTGTCAACTCTCAACACAGGACATCGACCAAAGGAGAAATTGCTTCATAGAGTTGTGGAAGAACTTAAAAATCAAAGAAAGCATGTGGCAACAAAAATCCAGAAAAATGTGGTTAAAAGAAGGGGATGTGAACACAAAGTATTTCCATAGATGTGCGAAAGGAAGATCGAGAAGAAATGAAATACTTTGTATTCGCATCAATGGTGTCCAGCATACAGGGGTGGTAGAAATAAAGAATGAGGTGGCAAAATATTTTGAGGAGTTATTTACGGAAGAGAAATGGGAGAGACCAAAGCTAGATGGCATTGATTTCAAGAGGATATCGGAAGCAGATAATGACATCCTCACTGTAGCTTTTTCTGAAAAAGAAGTTAAGGAAGCAGTGTGGGAATGTGAATCTTCAAAGTCCCCAGGCCCAGATGGTTTTAACTTCAAATTTGTAAAAGTTATGTGGGAAGACATTAAATCAGATGTAGTGGAGTTTGTGCAGGAGTTTCATGAGCATGGCCAGATAGCTAAAGGTTCAAATGCTTCTTTCTTAGTCTTGATCCCCAAAGTGGAAAACCCCCAAAATATTGAAGAGTACAGACCCATATCACTCATTGGTGTCATGTACAAGATCTTAGCTAATCTCCTTGCAAACCGACTGCGGAGGGTGATTGATAAGGTGATCAGGGAGCATCAAATGGCTTTCCTCAGGGGCAGACAACTAGTAGAAGGGGCTGTGATTGCTAATGAGGTGATTGATGAGGCAAAGAGAAAGAAAAAGAAATCTTTCGTTTTTAAAGTCGATTTTGAAAAGGCGTACGATAAGGTATGCTGGGGTTTCATTGAATACATGATGTTAAGAATGAGTTTTTGTGAAAAGTGGAGAG